CCATTTTTTGCTCTTCATGTCAACCTTGTTATCACACAGTTATAAAGAGGTCTCCACTTTTCTCCAGGTAAATTAACCTTCAAGGCAAGAGAATCAGCAAAATAAAACTTAATTGTCAACAAAATATTACTCAATGAATAATCTGAGAGATTTTCCTATTTCATCTGAAAAACATTAGTTTTTTGTACCTTTTAATCATTTCGCATTTCCACTGACAACCATTTAAACCCATAATAAAATTACCTTTTCTGTTGTTTATTTGTTTGTTTTACCAAGTAATTAACATCTTAATAAATGAATAATTACTTTTTTTGCCAGATTTTCCAATTACGCTTACCTTGCATTAAAAGGCAAAAGTCACATTCATGTCTAAAACAGAGGAAAAATGTAGCAAAAAATTCATCAAAATATCGATTTTCACATTTCATCTCTTGATGTTTCATTTGTTTTGTCACCAAAAACAACGTCGTAAATTAATTTGAGAAAAGAGGCAAAAAAAGTATCTCAAGATGAAATAATGTCAAATGATGCTAAGGTAATGATGATGCTAATCTTTCGATTTGCACTTTCCATGGATTTCCTCTTGTTCATCCTTTTATCTTCTTCAGCATTTTGATTCAAAATCGATAAAACATTTTCTCTCGATTCTCTTTTCTCATCATTATCCTTTTGGCTCACTTTTTATCAACTTGTTGCTTTCAAAATCCATTTAGTTTCATCCGTGATTATCATGATTCAAATGATAATGGAATTAACTCGGTTTCTTTTGTATTAATTCAACTTGTTGCTTGTCAACAAATGACTTTCACTTTAATAATTCAAATGATTGCCAGATTCATGATCACTGAAACACTGAAATACTGTCTGACAGAAGTTGAAAATGTTTTCAATTTTGATTGATTAAATTGTACATTTACATTGGATGAATATTTTTGTCGACTTTGTTTTTGCCAACTTCAACATTCGACTTTGTTAACCAGTTTGCAACCAAAAATAAACTCAAATTGATATTGTTACCAGATCTTTTTAATCAGTTTATTCTTGGTTTTTACTTTCATTCCCGGCGTCATCATCATTATCATCACAATAATCATCATTATACTCATCACCATGTCCATCAAGAGTAACAATAAAGCCACTTTGAAAGTCTCTTTTTTCTCCTCATTTTGGTTTATTCCTTGCATTTGAAATAGGAAAATCCATTAAATCGTTTTTCAGGTAAATGTTATCATGTTGTTTACCAACCATCCTAATGACATCCGTAACATCTTATTAGGTGTTCAGGTAAATAATGAGAGTTTTTATTAGCTTAACTTTCAATGATATTTTGGCAAAGAAAAATCTTTCTATTATTAATGGCTAAGAGTATTAACATGGAAATGTTGGAAAAACAAAATTTTCATTCAACTTCATATTTTGATTCGGACTTTCATGGAAACCGAAATTTCTTGCAAATCGAAATTCATTGTCATTTCTTCACTGAATCAACGATTAGTTTAATTGTTGATGTATTGAATGATGAATTGCAAGAAAAGTATAAATTAAATCAAAATTATTTATCTCTCAATTTAGTGAAAATAGAAATGAAGATAATTTTTTTCCCCGAAAATCGAAAATCTTTTTTTCAGAATTCTCAACGAATCTGGTGATTTTCTGTGAATCATTGTTAGTTGTTTGATTGAGACAAGAGGATTAATGCATTTAAGGAATTAATTTCATTTCATTTGTTTATCATTTGGCTTAAGAACTGAATCATTCAATTATTCATTTTGAATATTTCAAAAGTTCTGTTGAATTTTTTTGTTGGTTCAAATTGAATCAATTGTGCAAATAAACGAAATGAAAGTTTGTCGAGTTTAAGTTTTGATAAATTACCATGAAATTGTTGACCTTGAAAGTGAATGTTGTATTGAAAGGTAGAGCTTTACAAGAAATTTATCATGAAAATATCAATATATTGAAATGAAAATGTTATTTCAAGATTTGATTTTATTCCATTACTGGATTGGTTGAAAGGTTTAGAATAACTTTGAATGTCTCAGAACTTGGAATAACTAATAATTCCAGTTTTTACATCTCGTTTATTCTCGTCTGGCTCATGCTGTAAGCATTTGTTGAACCATGATTGGGTAAATGCAATCAAAGTGAATGAAACTTGGGCAAAGAATATTATTTTGCTTTTTGTTTCTAAACAACAATACATTTAATAATAATGATGATATAATGCTGATGATGATGAACCAGATGCTTGTTATTATTGAGATAAGATAAACCTTTGTGCTCAGAAAGCTGTGCAATGTAAAAAAAGTAATGTAACAGTTATGATAATTAGACCAAAAAATCGTAATGATGGTAATGATATGAAGAATAAGGGAAACTTCATTTCCTATTATCATGATATAGTATTAATGCATGATAAAATGATTTTGGGTTGATTCATGTTATTATGTTTTTTTCATTACAAAAGTGCAAAAAAGCAAAAATATGAAAATGCAAAACTATCATTATTATAAGCTGCATGTAAAAATTGACATACGCAAACATTTGAACATGTTCTGACATTCCATGAATTTTCATCGAATCTCAATGATTTTTAATTAACACATAGAAATAATAAAAAATTCGATTTTTCATGCTTAGCTGTTATTTAATAGCATTTAACATAGAAAATGAGCTACGAGTACTGTTTGAAGGTAAAATAACCTTTAAAGTGACCTTTAATGACAAAATAATTTAAGCAAAATAATTTTGACTGCCTATTAACTTGTTACTGATAAATTACTGTTAAAGGACGGTTACAATCAATTTCAGGTTACGGTTACATTCATACAAGGAAGTTACTATCAATTTGTCGTTTATCAAAATGTTCAAGGTCGATTTTTTATTTAATAATAAATCAATTTAGGCAAAATGATCCTTGGATTTCAACTAACGCTGTAGTCTAAAAATGGTGCCAAAGTGTCTAGTCTATGAGGAGATATAACTAGAAAACCGTTTGGTTGCAAACTTTTTAGGTTGCATCTTATAAAAATATAAAACAAAAGAAATACATAAATGCATCAGCACATGGCTTAGTGTTTCACCTTTGGATCTGGAAAATCTCTTTTAACATGGCCCTTACTTAAAATTTCATGACAATGAGATACTTCGTTATTATCATTAAAAAAAGTTAGTGAGTTAACTTAGTGTTAATGATCGAGGATTAAATGGTTTTATTAAGGCTTCCAACATACATTAATCAATTATTATAAAATCTCTATTATTATCAACTACTTTGATTGAGCCAATAGTAACTCTATGTATTGCCCATTTGTCCATGACGTTGAAATATCGATTCCCTTCATCGCCGCCCGAGTGTCGAGGTTGGGCTTTTGTATGTAGAACAAAATTTGTTTTTGATAAGGTCTAGGAATCTTTGGTAGGCGGTCATTGTGAAAGTCTCGGTCCCTGTTTGACTAATTTGACACTTTTGTGCCTCTTTGACAGATACTAGTTGTACAATCAATTAACGTTTATCACTATGTTTAAGGTCGATTTTTTATTTAATACTGAATCAATACACCGGGCGTTTTTTTCATTTTACGCTTTCATGCAGGCATAAGGCACGAACCGTTAGTACTACATAACTCAGACTTGAACCATGAGATCATACAGATTGAACAATCATAAGTTCTAACGCTCAAAGTTATTCAAGGTCAATTCTTTATTTGACCTCTAACTGACATTGGATTATCTTAGTCACATATTCGTAACTCTTACCATTGCTAAGATAAACGATTTTTTTCGAAATGCGAATAAATAACTGTATGGTATGGAATCATGCATATCCTTTAGCAAGTATGAGTTGTGAACATGTGACTGACATAATCGGTCAAAAGATTTTTGCGATTTCAGAAAATGTCCCTCCAATGTCAATTAGAGGTCAAATAAAGAATTAACCTTGAATAACCTTGAGCGTTGGAACTGATGATTGTTCAATCTGCATGATCTCATGGTTCAAGTCTGAGGGATGTAGCATTAAAGGTTCGTGAGTTATACCTGCATGAAGGCGTAAAATGAAAAAAAGCCCTGTATGCAAAATGATTCTTATATTTCAACATTTCAAAATGTGTCAATAATGACTAGTTCGAAAAGATTTTGAGAACAAATCAAACTTGACAATTGATTATCACAATTATTTTTCATGGTTCAATCTTGATGAGGCATCCAACAAGCCTCAATATTCAAAGGAAAACGTGAAATTATTGGGAATCCCAAGAACTCGGCAGGAAAAATATTGAACATTCAAAGTGATTCAAGTTGAATGTTGAACAGCAATTATCACAAAACATCTCAACAAATAGTAATTTTTGTTCTCCCTTCCAATTAAACTTTTATTCACGCTCAAATAAAATAAAGTAAAATGCGACTAAAGTGAAATAAACTAAAATGATTTCAATGTAATGAGTTGAAAAGGTAAAGTTAAAGAGTTTAATGTAATTTGTAAGACAAAAAGCACACAATTTAAGGGTTGACAGGTTGATCATTTAAAAGTGATGATGATGTTAAAGGTGATAACGGTGAACTGGAAATCGGTAACTTGTAATGATTACAATAATGATGAATATAATGACGATGCTGAGAGCAATAAAAGTGTGTTATTATTGATTATGATTAAATGGAATGGTAAATTGATTCATTTTAGGTTCCTTTTTGTGCAAAGACTTTATTTTTTTGGTGAATTATGAACAATGATAATCAAAGCAAGAAGCCAAGTGTGAAATTTGATTGATCATTAGTGATTTAATTGAAAGCAAGTTGATGAAAAGGTTTCAATTATTGCGATTCAATCTCATTAAAAGTGTGATAAAAAAAACATGACTTTATTGATTCCATGTTTGGTCAATGAGCTTTTGCCTTTCATGATTTATGATTAAATTGAGCCTTTTAATTTAAGCCTTTTCCTTTCAACCATTCAAGTTAATTGAACAAACATTTTCTCTTCTCATTCCATGATTCAGATAGCGGAAGCTTTATTATTCTTACACTATTCTTGTAAAATAATTCACCGAAACATTTGCCCACAATCTGTGATAATCAATAAGAAAGGGACCTGGAAATTGGCCGGATTCGAGTTTACTGAACGATGTGGTGATAACGATATCATGGTGAGCAAAGAATTTCATTTTTCTCAATTTTCCACAATCTTTTCAGTTTCCAGAGCACTTACACAGAAGATGAATTTGAATAAATATTCTTGAGTAATGTTTCAAGAGATGAATCTTTGAATTGGTAAACTCTTGCAAACAAAAGTCTTGTCAGAATTGCTTCAGATTTTTCCAGTTCTATTCATTTAAATCTTTCTAAATCCTTGAGAGATTAAATGACAAAAGCTTTTGAAACTGGAAAATTGTGTTGATTGACATGAATATCAGGGAAGAGTTTTAAAAGAGATTTCATGATGAATTTTGAATTCTTTCAGATGCCAATAGGATGTCAACCATTTACCAGTAAACTACCAAAATCGGCTCAACCTGATCTCGATTTCATGGCACCCGAAGTTCAAAATCAATCATGCTGTAGTCCACAGAGTGATATGTTTTCATTTGGTATTCTTATATGCACTCTCTACAATAAAGGTCGATCTCCGTTGGAGTCCAACCTTTCCGTTGTCCAATATAATCGTAAAATTGAATTGGTAAGAATTGTTTAACATTTCAAATTGAACATTAACCAAAATGTCAACCTATGGAAAGAAGTAGAAGAAGAAAAAACTGTCAAACTCTTTTTGTCTTTATTCATTTTCTCAGTCAACCTTTAACTGAATCTTCATGTTTTCTGACAAATTTTCCTCTCAATATGATTGAAAAGTGTAAAAATATTTTCTCTCCAAAAGGCTTCCAATTGAATGATGAAATTATTCAGGGAAACAAAAACAAAAAGCGAGTCAACTTTAAACACTGTGATAAGTAGAGTAATAACTTGTAAAACATTTTCTGTTTTGGTTCATCTCTTTTGTAAACAACATTTTACCTGGAAAACATGAGCTTAAAACTAAAGCTACACCGTATTTCACATAATCTTGCACTTTACCCTTGAACTGATTGATTGATCTCATGAATACAGAAACTCTTTTTTTTCTCCCTCAACTTTCCATCTCGAGTGTAAAGAATGAAATTATCAACTTTTCCAAAAGTACATTGAATTCAGTCAAAATTGACACTTGCGATTAGCATAAAGCAAGGAATAGCAAAAGTTGATAAAAACTGTCAAGAATCTTTTTTCTGTTTTCCTTTCATTTTTTGACTTTAAACTTGAAGTAATCAAAACTTATCAAGCAATAAATGTACAAACGAGATTCATTTGAATCTCAATTTCACCAAATTACTCTTTCAATCGCTTCCTTCACTAACCGTTTGTTCAAGTCAATTTAGTCTTGAAATGAAATCTTTTTAAACATTCAATGATGGCCAATGTTGGCCAATGTTTTGTTCAATTTGATCAACTTATTGTTCAATTGACCTTACAATTGAAGATCTTTTCTTGTTCCATTCATTCATTCAAATTATCTCTTCTTTTCCAGCTTAGTCGCAATGCTGTTTCAATATTGGACAATCTTCCCACTGATTTACAATTACCTGTTCAAGGTTTGTTAGACTTAGAACCCAGACGAAGACCAACTTCTCAACAATTTTCAATGGTTTGTTCATTTAAATTGCATTCCCAGGAAATGTTTTTCAACATTGTTCAACTTATTCACTTTTCAGGTAAAATACCTTATGGATCCATGTATTCATGCCCTGCAATATCTTGATGTTATCCAAATGAAAGACTCGGCCCACAAGTCAACCTTTTATTTCAACCTTAAAGAGATTCTCCCAAATATTCCAAAGGTAAATATCCATCAATATCAATCCATTTTAATAACCATTGAGTTGACTTTTTTCAAGTCATTTTACTGTTCATAAAATGACTTCACAAAAAACAAAATTTTCTCAACTTTTCCTTCTTCCAATGACAATAAAAAATAGTCTAATGTCTGAGGTTCATTTGGTTCATCAAAATCTGTTAGTATTCACATTTATTTGGTTTATCAAAACATCAACCAATAACATTGAAATGTGGTTCGACTTGTCAACAATGAGTCTAATGATACGATTACTGACTTGATAAGATGAACTCCCACTCGATCCCATGTCTACAAATGTTGCTATTTTTGTCTCTTAATCCACCCACTTTCATGTGTAATTGAAATAGATTTTCATTTGGCAATACTAATTGCTATAAATATTTGCTGTCTATTGAAGCGAATAAAAAAAGCGGAACCAGATTAACATTTCAGACTTGGAGCTAAACAGAGTGTTTCTCATCAAAATATATCATTTGAATATTTTTACATTTTCAAAGCTTTTTGTCCCCTTTTACAAACTCTTTAACGTTTACTCTTCTCATTGTGTTTATCAAGATAAATTGAGAAAATTGAGTTTTTTTTTAAAATCTCAATGCAAATCTATTTATTATAACGTCATTATTCATTTATTTTGGTAAATGTTTCGAGTTGATTCAACTCTTGATTGAACCATTTGATCAATGCTAAAGATGAACCTTTTATACAACAAACATTAGTCTTCAAATTGAGTTATCCGTTTAACCAATTGTTGGAGTTAACGATAATAGCCAATTGAGGGCAACATTTTTTTTGCGTTAATACTTTCGATATTGAATGGAAATGTAAAAAGTTGATTCAATTTGATTCATTGATCATCAGTGAAATGCTCAAATGCTGATGCATTTATTCATTGAGAAATGAAAGTTGAACTAATTCTTTATATTGAATGATTCAACTAATGCTCTTTTAGGATTAATAATTGATGATAATTGTTATCACTTTTAATTGGCAAATTATTATTTGGCCAAATGGACAACCTTTAGATTACTCAAGTAATACTTCAAAGTGTGTAGTTAAAAGTGAAATATGATTCGTGTAATAGCCTTAAAGTGTCACAACTGTGGTTATTAGTGATGATAAATATTGGTCAAGGTTAGACTTACAGCGATTCCAGAGGCAGCATGTTTCACCATTATTATCATTATTACTGGAAAACATGAGAAGCCTTTTTATTTGAAAAAAACAAGTGTTTATCAAAATTGTTATCATAAACGAAAGACTCTATAAGTCCAAGTAAATGATAAAAATTACTCCCTGATCTTGACATTTGCAGACAATTTCCAGGGAGTTTTCGATGACCTTTCAGGCAATTTTCAATTTCACCCAATTTTCGAATAATTTTCAAGTTCTGTCTGGAAGTGTCAGCAAATTTCCAGGGATTCCATGATCATAAAACTCAGAACCATCAAAGAATTTTCAGAAGATTTTCGAGTTTTCGGGCAATGCTATAGCAAGGGAATCTCAAGAAGAATTTCAGGAAATTCGTCGTTTCAACTTCTGACAATATCAAGTTCATGTTAGAATATCTGAGAATTTCTATGAGTTTTCAGACAATTCTCTCCATTAGTTTGTAACGAAAACTAAAGAAAAGTAAATTTTGATGAAAATTAATATCAATGTAACTCGATAATGATTATGATATTTTTCCCTCCCAGTCAACTTTCTGTATAAAGAAGGACACCTTTACTGATACTTGACTCATGAAATGGTCTTTATCCAACAGTATCGAAATTTTCGATTGAATTTTTTCTCCATTTCCTGTTTTTCAATACTTTTCACCCAATGCTTATTAATGTCTAATTTAGCTCAGTCCATTCTTGACCATTATTTCACTTTTCACATTTTCTCAGTTGAGTTGTAATGGGCTCATATTTCCTGTTGTTGTCTTGCCATTGATTTGGTGTCGATGAAGGATAATGTTTACCATGAATTTACTTTTCAATAATTGTCATTCCGTTTGAGTTTTCGGTTCAACTTTTCGATATTTGAACATAAGCTGTTGATAAACTCGTTAAACATCAATAAAAAGCTGAAATAACTTGCCTTTATTGCAATCGTAAAGTGAGTGAAAAATTGTTGAAATATATTCAGTTCGTGAGATTCATAAGAAGCAACAATAAAATATGTTCTCATGTAACGATACAAAAGTTATCATATTTTACATTCGTTATTGGACTGATTAATGTTTCGATGATCAATTAAGCAAAAGTAAAAGGTAAATCCAATTACAATGGCTTCACTTGTAATCAACTTAATTTAGAGTTAATTAAAATGTTTTTATTTCATGTTCAACAGTGAAACTTTATTTCCACTTCAATTTTCACCTAATTTAAATTGCTTTTTCCAATTTTTAGCTTTTTTCTTCTTCTTTTTGCTGCTTTTTCAAGACTGTTTATCTGCTTACAATTTGAACAAATAAATTTACTTTTCTCATTTCATTTGATTCAGTTTCATGTTTGTTTACCTTTTTTATTTCATTCCCATTTTGCTCAACAGAAAATGTGGTTTACTCATATCTTACCTTCCATGGAAGCAGAATTTCAAAGCTCTGAAGTCTTGGCTGCAGCACTTCAACCTCTTTTACGGATGATTGAAGAGTCGACGGTTGAAGAGTATCAAAACATCATTTACCCAATAGTCAGGAATATATGTTTAATGCCTAAATCGGTTCAGGTAACCGCAAGATTAGTTCACTGTTAAGTCAATGATATCAAAGTAAAGTGACTTTATTAAATATTGATTTTTATTCATTTTCACAGGCAACTGTCACTCTATTGGAAAGCATGGACATTTTAATATCCAAAACTGCAAAATCTGATTTCAAACAAGACATTCTTCCAATGGTTTATAACGCATTTGAATCAGCAACTCCACAAATTCAGGTAACTGTTATTAAACATTACCATCTTAACCCATGGATTAGGCTCACAGTTAATGACTATTAACCGACAAGTTTCGGCCTTTGATTGGCAAAAGATTTCCACAAAATTAACAAAATCTCAAAGAGAAATGTAAAACTCAACATTCGACTTGGTAAATCAACTAGAAGACACAGTCGAAGATTTAGATGTTTAATTAACCGTCAACTGCTAACTGTTTTGAATCATTTATAACTCAAGTCAGTCTTCACTCCATTAGTGTTGATTCCAGAAAATGTGACTTTTGTTTAACGTTTAGTCAAAAGTCATCAGAACCAAAGCATCCATTATTACTTTACTTGTCGTTTTTACGTTGAAAATTGTGAACATAGAAATCTGAAAACATGAAATTCTGAATGATCGACTTGTTGCTTTACAATTGTTCCAATGAAATTTGCAATTTTAACTGTAAGTTGACTTGAAACGATCTCATCTCAACATGAAATGATGAACCTAAAAAGCTGTTGCATTCCAAAGGCAATAGCAAAAGCTATAAACTTCACTTTAACATTACAATTGGTGTAAACCTTTTATTAACATTATTCCCTCTTTTCATCAATTAATTTACAGTGTGCTGCTCTTCATGCTGTCTCTTTGGTGATTGATGATCTTGATCAATACACAATTAGTAAAACAGTTCTACCTCGAGCAAAGTTCTTTTTTGAAGGAAATTCCAATATACAGGTAATAATACAAACAAATAATAATGATAAGTATTCACCTATTGAAGGTATAATACAATAAATGGTAGGCATAAAAGTGTAGGAAGTCTTCAAACAAATGAGATAATTGTCTTTTCTTTCCAATTAATATCAAACCAAATGACTTTCCATTTGTTTTCCCACAAATCTCACATCAGATTTCATTTTATATCAACTCATTCTAGACACATTTAACCTCATCTCATCTATCAAATCCCTTTTATTGAATAAAACTCATTAAAGATGATTAAAGATGCTCATTTGATCATATTTTACCTGCAAAGTCATTTGAGATGAAAATAGAATTGCAAAATTTTCACTTTTGCGAAATTTCCTGAAAGATGATTCCATCATTTCAATCATTTTGAGTCAAAATATTGAGTGAAGATCGAAAAATTTGAACAAAAAGAAGATCGAAATTTAATGAAAAATTATTTTTCTTTTTCACGTTTTCAACTCTTCTTGTTGAACCTTTTTTCATTACTAATTACTGGACAAGATTCAAGCCAATACCTTGAATTGTATTGAAAGAGTTTTGGATAATCTGGAAAAGACTGAAATTCTGGATGAAGTTCTTCCAATTTTAAGTAAAGCCAAGTTAACCGAACCAATTGTTCTAATGCCTGTTGTTCGTAAGTTACATTCACGTATTACATTTCATTTTCACCTTACCCTTGACCAACCTCAACCTTCAACAAATTCAATTGTAACCTGTGAAACTCAATCAGTTTGTTGATCAATAGAAGTGAAGTAAAAAGCAAAGTGAAACTTTCCTCTCAACTTGATAAAATAACTCAATCAGAATCATCTCGAGTAAATAATACAAGGAAAGGAGGAATAAAAAAGGTTCAATATTAACCTAAAAACAATTTTTAGTTTTGTTAACAATAAAAAATGATAACAAAAAGGTAAAGAAGAAAATTGGAAAAGATTTGAGTTTCCCTTTTTGCGAGTAAAAATTGGATAATTTTAACATGAAAACTCAAATTTTTTATTCAAAGGTCAACTCTCGATCCAAATTGAACATTCAACTGTTGAGATCAAGTTACTTGAGATTATCGTGATTATTTGAACAATATTTGTTGCCTTTTCTGATTCACTTGTACTTTAATCCATTGGAATTAATATAATTTGAAACTTGACTGAGACCCAAACTTGTTGACAAATGTTCCAAATGTCAATTGAAATTCATGGAATTGCTATTTTCATCATTTCGCAGTTAATTTTAAACTTCAATTGACGACTTTGGGAGTTTTTTTCTCTGGATTCTCTGCTTTTCTCAATTTGTGTTTTAATTCAAACACATTTCCTATCTTGTTGAACATTATTAAATAACTTCCTTTGGAGATTAAATTCAATTTCAAAATGATAAAAGTAAAAGTGAATAACTCTTGAATTACGAGTTCCTTCCGGATGAGGAGAAGAAGAAAACTATTCAATTGTGAGATTATGCATGTTCAAGATGATGTATAATGAGGAATGTAAAAAAGGCGAACTCGAATGTTGTCAAATTAAAGTTCATTTTGTATTTCAATGGTTTCAACGTTTATTCAGATTTTTCCTGTTTGCTCATTTCGATTGAAAAAATCATCAAATGGTTGCATGACAAAGATTAGAGCCAAAAGAAATCTATCTTATCGATGAGTCGATGTTTTAAGGATAATTATCGTTGAGAATTGGAAGAAAATATTGAAAATTCTTTTTCGAAAAAAATGAAAGTCTATTGTTAATTAGTGCAGTAGAACCAGAATTGAATTGCAAGTTGATGAGAAAAGATGATTTCAATGCATTCCAATCAATCATTTTAATCTATTTTGTTGAATCTCAAAATGCAAATGAGTTTTTATTCAATGAATTTTTATTAATCCCTTGACTATCATTCTAATAAGTTGCATGGAAAGTTGAGAAATTATGAAATCCTTTTAATTGTTCTTTAATCAACAGGAATTTATAAGCGGATGATGAGTGACAAACGATATGGTTTAACTGTTAATCTTTTAGCGACCAAAGTATTACCTTCCCTGACTCCTGTAGTGGTTTCACCGACTCTTAAACTCGAAGAGGTAAGCATTTTACTCGATAAGTTTTGGCATTCAATTAACTCATTTTATCTCTAGTTTTCCCTGTTAGTCAAATTGTTACAAGAAATGCTAGAACATGTTGCTCGTAACCAGCGAAATAAACTAAAACTCGAACGTCTATCGATGCCGTCAAATGATGGGTAAGAATGAATATGAACATCTTTCTTTAATAAATATTATTATGCATTTAAAGATGACTTTTTAACTTTTTTTGAAGATTGAAGGAAATCTAGATTTCGATTCTCATTTCTCGATTGATTTAGTAATGAGATTTTGTTTTATTTGTTTCGCTTAGAAGAATGCAACTTCATCGTAATTTAGATCAACCCATTGGCTATCCTCATCGACCTCCTTGCCTTAGACTGGAAACTCGTCGAACCTCAATATCGGTTGACGATGTTGTCCGACGTACAACCTCTTCTGGAGCCTCCAGTCCTGACATTAATTTACTTCAGGTTCAAGGTAACCTTCCAGGTCGTCGTCATTCAGATAACACCATTCAACCTCCAAGGATATTGATTGCTCCCTCCAGTCCAACAGGTTCCGGTTCCATGTCAAGACGATCAAGCTTTGCCAATCTTCACTTTCGTCGTCATTCAAGTGCAAATCCAAACGATCCTAAATACAACCAATCAATTTTTTCTGCTTACAGTTTCAAGGTAACACTTTAATGAAAGTGAAAATCATACCCAAGTTTCATTTTTAATCTCATAATAATCGTTTTAACTTGACAAATCAAATTATCTTAATCAACTTATTCTCAATTTTTCTTCAATATCGAGTTATTAGACATGTTAAAGCTAATTAAGAAGGAAAATCTAGTTTCATCACAATTTCAATGAAATTGAAATAAAGTTATTATCAGGTTAAATTGAAACAATCTTTTACTGAAACCATTTCCCCATTTTCCCAGTAAATCTCAAAGAAAAATCTTGAAATCTTAAGTTCTGACATTATTCTAGTTTACTTCATGCCACTATTTTCTCTTATAATTATAATCAAATCAGGATTTTAGTCAATTTATCTTGAGTTTCGTCAACTTTTCTATTAATAGAAGTTCATTTTTAGCTCAATCTTTCTGCACGCAAGTTTTATCAACATTTCATCAAATCCAAGTTAACCTTTTCAAGTCAATATTGAGCATCAAACGCAGCCATTTCAAGAAAATTGTTGAATCTTGAAATCTGGAATCTTTATTTAAATTGTAAAGTTGAGAAAAGAGGAAAGAATCGGATTTAGATTTCAGATTATTGATGAAATTTGATTGTTATACAAATTTTTGGATTAGTCGAGTTAATTTTTCCTCTTCTATTGAAAAATTTCCTCTTAAACTTTTCAACATCTGAAGATGAAACTTTCTTTTTCTATAAATTTCCCTGAAAAGATGTGAACCAATTTCTAGAGATATTTCATTCTTCTTTTCTGTCCTTTTCTCAAACGAATAACATGAAAATGATGTTGAATTCTGTTTCCTTTTATTCACCTATTCTTTACTCAGCCTTCCCAAGGGATTGACTTTTTCATTCCAAGTTTATCAAATGCAAATCGAAGTCCCAATCACCAATCATCTTCACCAGTTGGTGGTCGTCGTTACTCAACTGCAGCAGTTTTCAATCAAGGAACCAACTCGACACCTTCAAGTCTCCTTCAAACACTCGGCTCTGGTATGGTAAGTAATCAAACCCAGACCCAAATAAACATTAAAAAGATGAAAATTAATACCAATTTATAATTAACTTAACAGCAACAACTTTTTGGTAAATAAAGCTCTCAATACATTTGGATTATTTGATATTTCCAGCAACTTGAACAATTGCTTATTAAAACTTGATCAACTCCTAGTCCCAATGAAGCTCACTGGAGGACAAAATGCGGCCAATTTCAATTGTTGATCAAGAAGGCAAAGCGAGAAAAGTTTAATTACAATTTTCTTCTTCTTCTCCATCATCTTCTTCTTGGCTAACCTGGCATCAATTAACATTTTAAAGGTAAACCTGGAAATGGTCAACATGGTCAACAAGAGCTCACTTGAAGCAACGAAGCAACACATTAATTAACTTCTTAACCATTTAATAATAATTTATTCAAATTATGTTGTTATATACATAAATATTATTGCTCCTGGTTTATTGACTAAAGGAGTAAAGTTGAAAAAAAGTGAGAAAACATCTCAACTAATCAAGGCAATTACATTTAATCAAAAACTAATTAACATTGAGCTAATCTAAAGTTAGATTTATCATTAACTTTTTAATCAACGTTAATCCAACAGTAAATTGTTTCTTAATATGCAATTCATCAAGAGCTATTAGATGAGCAACACTTTAACTTGTAAATTATTGCTTTGCTTTTACAACAAAACTCCAACATTAAGTAACCAGATTTTGGGTTTGATTTGGGTTTAACCTCAACCCATTTGATTAAATGTTGAGTCAACTTTTCTGGTTTAACTTCAAGACTTTACTTTTAGATCAATTTAAATTGTAGTTAGAATTCAATTAATGATCAGCACTTTGATTTATCTCATTTTTCCCTGTCATCTTAACCATTCCTCATGAACATTCCATGATCAGGTGAAATCAATTTTGTTGATTAAATCCTGTCTATTCTTGGATCCATTTACCTCATAAACCAGGTTAATAATGATGATATTTTTTTGCTGTTCCTTGAGCAAAGAAAGAAAAAAAATGATGAAAAAGATTGAACTTCATATTCATTTCCATTGGAATCCTATTCATTTTTCCATCTTTCCATCATCATGATCATCAAGATCACTATTTAAGCTCTCGATATATATACATAAATAGAAATATAAATATTAAGAAATGAGAAGAAGCAAAATTATTATTATACAATGATAAATATTATTATCTGTTCAGATGATGATGAATTCAGTGAAGCTGAAACAATTATTGTTACTATGGGAACATATATATATATAAATGAGTAAAATTCATTTCTTTTTTTTGATGAAACATGATTTTACCTGGAAAATGTTGTGTTGTTTGAAAAATTGTTTTCCTCTTTATTTTGACCCATTTAAATGATTACTCTTTGTTATTGAACAGCAAACATTTAAATCATCAGCATCACTGTGATGCATATTAACTTGATCATCTTCATTGCCATAATCAGTTGATTACTTGGCTTTAATAAGGCTTTAATTTTTGGCTCTGCTCTCATGTAAATTCATGAGTTTAACTGGAAATATAAAAGCAAATGAAGCTAAAATGTTTTTATGTTATAACTTGTTGTTGTCACTTGAAAAGACTGTATTAACTGCATTTGAATGTAACATAAAAATAAATGTATCATTAATATAAATATTGGTAATTATTATTATAAAGTGACAATGATTGATGGCTTGTAATAAAATATATTATTAAACATTATAGTCCATGGTTTATTATAATAAATTGACAAATCAATTTGATTGCTTTATCCATTTGAAATCGACAACATAATTTATGGTTGTAACCAGTTGATCATGAGGTAAGTTGACGGGTTGAAAGAGACATCTTTTGGGTTCTCTGGTTTTGTCTGGGTTCACTTTGGTCTTTTCTGGTTTCCTCCATATTATTGTCTCTTGGTTAAGTTGGGTTTTGGTATAAACTTGACTAATTTATATTTAAAGTAACCAATTAAAGGAAACATGTGTTGTGATTTAGATGAAACAATGAATCTCAATTAATCGTCTGGTAAAAGTGAGCATGAAAAATACGTTGAACTGGTGAGTCTTGATTGCCTGGCTAAAAATGTAATGTAAGATGAATCACAATCTTCATTAATGATATAACAGGGTAAAGATTTATCTAACGGTTGGAAGTAAATAGAGAAAGGCAAACAAAATGGTTGCCTTGTGATAACTGAAGACGATGGTTGATGTTTATGTTGTTTTTGCAGGCGATAGTGTTGACTTTGGTGGTTATTTCGTTGGCGGTTGTTAGTTGATGGTTGATTATGATTCCAGGCTTGGTTTTATTACTTTAAAAATGAACATAATCCTGATCATTTGGTAATTTGGGTCGATAGTCTTTGTACCTGTTGATCTCAAAAGCATAATACAGACTGAGTGTTGAGGTGGCCACAATTAATATCACCATTAACATTGATACAAGGAAGGAAATGATGTTTTCAAGAAGCAATGTAATTATCAATAAGATGAATATTCCAGTTCCGGTAGTTGAGAAGAACAAAAGAGTACAAAATGATTTAAAGAAAACAGCAAACAAACCAAGAGATAAAACAATGATAGCAATGAAACAGGATCCACAGAGTATCATAGTAGCCATATCATATTGACTTGGATCAAAGTTTAGATCTTTCTTTGATTCCAATGCCAATCTTTCACTATTTAGGTCAGATAATCCGATAAACAGGTAACAAATTGTCAAGAAAAGGTTGACCATCAATAGGCCAGTAACCACTTTACGAAAGGTTTTCATATAAGTCTCATATTGTCGAGCCATAGTCTATAGTGACCAAAAAGGCTTAAGATTACCGAAGAAACCAAGAAACGCAAAACTTTTGTCGTTGATAGAAATGAGGTTTGAAATTTGATAAACACTTCAAATTAAGATTTTCAAGTTTTTAACAGTTTTAATTTTTGGTAAAAGATGATGAAAGTTGATTAAGATTGATTAAAGTTACTTGAATAAGGTAAAGGATCAAACAGAAATAAAACGTTTCTTTTAGATTGGAAATCATACAATCTTGATAATGCGGTAACTAGGGTGATGTTTCTTGCCTGATAACGAAAAATAAACCTTATTTTTCCTATTCTTCGTAAACATGATAATATTGATAAGATGTAAGATATAATTATTATTATTTCTGATTTTCATTAGTTTCAATTTTTTCGTTTTCGCAGAAAATACATGTTACATTGGAATGGTCATGTCTGTGAATTTGTTTACTTGTGTAAACGAAATGTATCAAGATATTGGTTAAAGTATTTACAACAGTAAAGAAAAATTTATCTAGATATTTATATTGAAAGATTAGACTGGAATGGGAAGTATCCAATGATATTGTTCAGTTATGATTAACAGATTGATGTATTCGTCATATATTTCTCCATGAATTTGTGTTTTGTATTTAAATTAGCGGGACTCCTCATTTGTACATGTGGGTTGTCATTGAAAAAAATGATAATTGTGATAGAATAACAGCAAAAATATTTATTAATTTTAATGAAAATGTTGACTAACTAACTTTATTGGATAAATACTATTGACCATCACACAACCTCTCGATTATCTGAAATGAGATGAAAAAAAGGTTAATTACCAAGTCAATCATGGAAGCTTTCAAAAAAATTTCAAACTTACGCTCATTTCCATGAGTACAGGCTCAACACATCGATTTATTGTACTCCTAAGAACTTCATCAATCATGCTATGAACCAAACTGAGAAGAGACAAAGATCATTATAAACAGAGATTTAAATATGTTTGTACAATCAACTTACTTTTCATCTGTGACAAAACGCCATAAATGAGTTTGAAGATAATACAAATCAACTTGGACCTGCTGTAATCCAAATGTACTGAATGTACAAAGGCGAACTGATTCGAGGAATGTCTGATTTTAAAAATAAAATAGTCAAGTTAAAAATTTTTCAGATTCGTTAGGATAAAGCAAACCTTTAGTCCTATTTTGATAATTCCCGTAACAATGGATAGCTTTGAAAACTCGACTAAGCTGAAAATTTCGATTCGCTCTCCAAATAGTTTTTGAATATTGCTTATCAAACTATTGTCAATAGTGCTGAAAATTAAATAGAACAAAATTAGTCACTTTTAAAAGATGAAAGTATATTAAAGTTACCTTGCACCATATGAACTCCAGTTGGATCGACTATATGATCTAGAAGAGGGAAGTCCAATTCCACTCATAGCATTACGACTTCTACTTGAGTCTGAACTCCTTTCAGTCCTTGATCCTTCCTCATACAGTTGGGCCACTTGACTATCAATTAGTGAAACATCCTCGACTACTCTTTTCATCACAGATCTTACTGAACGCGGCTCAACTCCACTGGACCAGTCTCTTGTTTCTATTGACTTTTTAATCATTTGAGATAAACTATGCCCTTCCAGTCGCACATAGTTATTGATTAAATTTTGAGCACAATCTTTAGCTGCTTGCTTGAGTTCGGTGAGGTGAGGGTAGGGTTTCATATCACGAGAAATGTATAGTTGCTCTTCAGTAAAATTGATTAAATAGCTGATCATGGTAAGGTCCAAATCTAAGTTGAGACGGGAAAGTAAAAGAACTAAAAGTGGAGTTCCAGATGAATTAGCTCGCTGATGTTCCGATGAAAGTGAGATTACATGTTTAAGCATCGAAGCAACCACTTTTTCTCTAACATCAAGGATGAAATCATCACGAAAATTGGTTTTAATTAAAAATGATAGATCTGGAGCTGAGAAAACACTCAAACTTTTAACAGTGTTCTTAATTGATTCACTTAATGAAGTCTCCAACGAAACAACAATATCAGATAATGATGTTTTGTCCTCAGCTTCGTGTGATGTTAAACTGACAATTGCATGACGAGCGTTGACCAGTTCTTCGTGGAATTTAGTTTTAGAAAGTTCCAATGCTTTAGAGCATTGAGCTGCACTTGAGTCCCAAATAATATTGAATGCATCACTGGTGAAATTTTGATACCCGAATATATTAGACAAAGCCTGAAGACGTCGATATAAACGATCCAATGAGCGCACAAAAAATGCTATCTCTAGAGTGTTGAAGGGTTCTATTGACAAGCGAGTTTTGATTTGACTAAAGAAAGATTCCATCAATGTATTGACAAAAGTTTTCAAGTTATCGATCAAATGATTTTCATCAACACTATCATTCAGAGCAAGCTTCTGGATGAAAATTTCCTTGTAAGAGGTAATTATAGCTGATAAATTACTGGCAAAACCATTCGAGGCCACATCCATGTATTCGAGTATATCCATTTTTTGAATATCCTCAGACGTTGACTTTTGTTGTTGAATAAAATTATTTGTCTCTTTTTCAAGTTCAGCTAAATTAACATTTAATGCCTTCTTTGATCTGCAATTAAAATGGAGACAAAACGAAAATCTCTAAAATAATTATCACAAGTAATCATATTTCACTCACGTTTCAAGGAAAGCAGATGAAAGTTGTAAAGGTGATTCTTTAAGACCTAACAAGAGGTTGATGGTAATTGCAAGTTGCTGGGTGTTGATCTGCAAATAAAATGAAATTTTTGAACCATGTCACAAAATAAGAGAGAAAGTATTACTCACGTCACTGTCTTGGAGTTGATTATACAATTCTTGTCTCAATTTATCTAGAATTTGTTCACATTCATGATCGATGGCTTCAATTGATGGAAAATGTGAATACCTTGAGAGAGTTCCAACTGCTTGATTATAAGCAGCAATGGCTTCGTCAAATTTTTTTTCTTCGATGTACGTTTTCATCTTAGGCGGGAGGTCAAAAAGAAATTGAAGTTTCTTTAAAACACCATCGGTAGCAGATAATTTAGACAAATCTTGACGACGAGTGGCCAAATTTTTTGAAATTTCTTCGCTTGAAACTGTTATCTTTTCCATATTAGATGATAGCTCTGCTAATTGTTCTTCCATTTTATCAAAATGATTACTCATCTATTATATTCAATAAATATCAAGACGGTAAAAAATATAATCATGATCTGTGATGCATTAAATTCAAGTTAACTGTATTAAGATAAATGCTTTAAATAGTAACCTTTTTTATTGTTTGAGTAGCATTGATGAACTTGTTGTAATTTTCATAGACCAAAGTTTGCATCTCATTGTCAAGGCTCTGAATCTGTCGACGCAATACATCTTCTTTGTCCATTAATTGAGAAATATTGCATTCTTTAAGAAGCTAAAATAAACAAGGAGACGAATAAGAAATCTTGCTAAAGGAGTGTCTTGCAAATTTGGTGACTACTTACTTTGCTCAAATATAGGTCAGCATTAAAATCAGGACTATTGACATTGAATAGGTCACCAATATCAATACTTCCATTCTCAGGAATCATTTCTTCGGGTTTGTAATACTCTTTCAAAAGGAACTTCTTTTCCCGAGAAGTTTTACCAGAACCTGTGTTGAAAGATGACAACATTAGCAAAATAGAGTAAATATTTCTCTCTGATTTTAGATTAGTGGCAAGAATGAAATGAAATAATCAATGACTAACCTGAAGAAGACATTTTTACGATGAAAAATTGGTAAATCCAGATTTAGGCTTAAACCAGCAGTAAAATGAAAAATGGCTTATGACAACAATTGACACCATATGTTTTCTATTACCATGGTAACACTAGTTTACATTAACTTTGGATGAAATTTTTTGATAATTTCAATGAAAGAGTTCAGTTCATTTTAATTGTCACTTAAAAATTTTAAAATTTCATTGGCATGCTTTAAAATCTGTTTATTTCTTTAGGTTTAGACTTGGAGATTTTTATTTAATTTTGAAATTATCCTAACCTGAATTTTCAATAGTATTAAATTCGATAGATGGCAGTGCTATCTCACAGATCTAAAAAAATTAACATCTGATTATTAAATCTTTTTTCACTTAACCAATCTTTTTATATCTTTACTTTTTACTCACTGTCAATATTCCTGATAAAGAGTCAAGTAAAGTTTAAAGTCGCAATTAATTGAATTTTGTTGATTGTTATATAATTTATCATTTAGTCCAGCTCTCTTAGTGTCTAACCATTCCTCAAGTTTATTGCTCAAAGTTATTAGGCTTATAAACCATGATTAAGCTGTTCTCATTGAAAAACCAGAAAAAAGATGGTGATGGCTCTAATAAATCGGAATCTAGTCAGAAAAGAGCTTCAGCAGCTCAATTAAGGATTACAAAAGGTTTGTTTCATTTTCCTATACATACAGAAATTCAAATTATCCAGTTATTTGGACTCTAATAAACCAAGTTTGTTAATTTTGATTATATCTTCTCTTTCTTTCTATCCTCTCTCATACTCCATTTCAGATATCAATGAACTAACTCTACCTAAAACATGTAATATTGAGTTCCCAGACCCGGATGATTTACTTAACTTTCAACTAGTTATTATGCCAGATGAGGTAATAATACTCTGTTTTATTATTTTTTTAATAATTTAAATGCACAATAGCTGAACAAGATTGTTCTTATACTATTTTATTTATTATGGTTAGGCTATTTATTTTCTTTGTTTTATTAACCTTGCAAATTTGCTAATACAATCAAAGTCATTTTAAAAGTTTATTTTTTCTCTTCTTATTTTCAGGGCTTCTACAAGGGTGGTAGATTTATATTTAGTTTCAAAGTTAGCCCTAATTATCCTCACGATCCACCGAAAGTAAAATGCAAGACAAAGGTATTCCACCCAAATATCGATCTCGAAGGAAATGTTTGTCTAAATATTCTTCGTGAAGACTGGAAACCCGTTCTTACCATAAATTCGATTGTTTATGGTTTACAATATCTCTTTTTGGTAAGTGTTATGATTTTATCGTCATTAACTCATCACCGTTTTATCTTCTAACTTATTACTTATTATCTTTTAAATAGGAACCCAATCCTGAAGATCCACTGAATAAAGAAGCTGCAGATATGCTTCAAAATAACCGACGAATGTTTGAGCAACATGTGAGAAAAGCAATGCAAGGTGGTTCTATCGGAAACACATCGTTCGAGAGATGTCTAAAGTGCTAATGCTCAGCAACATCTAACGAAATGAAAGTTGTTATGTCTTACTGTAACTGATGAATAACCTACAGCAACATTAATACCACACTTTTATCATTTCTACTCTTTGTCATCACCATTACTCTTTTCATCACTTATTCTCAATCAATAATTCAAAATGCAGCATCATAATAGAAACAGCAACAAATGTTTTAATACAATTACAAGCAGTGTATTTGTTTTGCTCAAAGCATGAATGGGATGTTAAACAAGATTTTGTTTATTGAGTTTTGACCAGTCCTGTTTACAGAATAAGATGGTCCTTTTTTTCTTGTGATGGATGAAGAATCAGCTCTTTTCGCCTTTCAAAGCACTCATTTTTAACTCTCATCAATTCTTTCAGATCCTGCCACATTTTTGATTGTTTCTTAGCATTGTTCTCGTTATCTTGTAATTCTTTCATCCTTATCCTCAGATCATTTCTCACCTCCTCCTCATTTGCGATATCCTTTTCTATCTTGACTCTGAAAAAAACAAAAAAGAGTGTAAGAGATTCAAAAAAGAATACAAGATGAAATAGCAGAATAAAGCATTATATGAAAAATAAAAAACTATAAGGAATTTACAATTCTAACATGATGTTGATTTATTTCTTTAAAATAACTATTAGATCGAAATGTAAACTTACAACCAACTTTTTTCTCTATCATCGACAGCATTGGCCACATAATATCGAAGTTCAAGATCAACCAAAGACTGGATAGCATTCAAAGCTTCTAATTCCATCTCGAGTATAAATTTTGTCGATAAAAGAGAGTTTGATTCGTGCCTCATTTTCTTAACTATTGATTCAATTTTAACGATATTAGACTCCAAATTAGCTGCCAATGAATCATATTTGGATTTCTTTCGATCACAATCCATTTGTAGATCTTGACATTGCTGTCTCAAGGGGCGAAGATCTTTAACTAATGGAGCCAGTTCACTTTTCTTGGCATTAATTTGCTCTGTCAATTCATTAATTGTGGATCTTAAGTCTTCTGTATCTTGTTCTTCATTATCATCTATTTCTTGTTGTTTGTCAGATTCATTTTGAGACGTAAAATAGCCAGCAATTCCTCTTTGCTCTTCAAGTGTAATCAATATTTGACGCAATCGTGTCCATTTTTCCTTTAAAATCTCGTCAGTTCTTGTTAAAATGGCCGATTCTGTACGAATTTCTGCCAATTCTCGTCTTTTTTGTTTGTAATCGTTTCCTTTGTTACGGACATCATTTACAAATTTTTTCAACTACAAATTATAAAGACTATATTAATAACAAAGAAAAATACTAATTCTTTGGCAATTAGTGTAATAATTATAGTGATCACCTCTTCTCCTTTCAGTATCTCTTCTCCATCAAACATTTGCTTTTTTTCTTCTAGCTTCTTATTGAGTTCCTCCAATTCATATTCAGCTTCCTTAACGGTTTCTTGTAAATTGGAACGTTTTTTGGACACAAGAGCTGCCTAAAACGAAAATGTTGATTTTCAGTTAATAATTTCGATAAAATCTTGGAATAGATTGGAAAAAATACGAACTTACACTTTGTCGTACAAGAGCTAATTTTTCATCATCAGCATCATCGTTAGTCAACATTTTCTTTTCGATTGTTTCATTGATCTCTCGATTTAAAGTTTGAATTTTACTTTTGATTTTCTCAAGAAAATTAGGTAAAACTTCTGGTTGTGATTGTATCTCTTGAATGTCTGATATATAACGTTCTATAGAGGCTAACTCCTGAGGTAAGATTTCCTTGACCAAACGTTGTTTAGCTTCAACTTCTTCTTCCAATTTTTCTAGAATATCTTGAGGTGTAACACCCATTTGACGTTGCATCTGAGCTGTCTTCAATCGAACCTTTAGCTTGCTCATCTTTTCATTAATAGATTCCAACTGCAAGAAAAAATTGATGAAAAAAGTATAAAAGATTCAAGTGCTTTATCATTCTAATACAGTGGAGTACCAGATACTGTCAGTAACTGGAAATAGCTTATATGCACAGCAAGTCTATTAATCGAGCTAAAATTTAAAATTAATTACAATGATTAATAAAATTAAAGTCAGTTGCTGGAAAAGTCTAACAAATTAATGTCATTGTGCTGAGGATCGTTAGTTGAGTTGAATTTGTAAGAAATATTCAACTTTTTTGATAATTTCTTTATAATTTCAATTAAAACTTTCCTTATAGGGAATGTAAACAAAGGGTTTGAGGGGCTATTGAATAATCTACTGACATTATCTGGTACTGACACTATCTGGTACTCCACTGTAGATGGAATCAGCGTATGCAGCAGAAAAACTTACTTCAATAGTCTGTGAACGTATTTGTCTT